TCTAACCATCAAACCACCTTATAATTTCTTGTTTATATTTTTTAAATTTGTAATGAGTGAGACTCGAACCTACAACGTCTTTCACTTCATTCCTAAAGTCATTCACTCTAATCATCATACCACCTTATGAGTATGATATAATTTCCTCTAAATTTCAACAACAGCTGTTATGGAGAAAAATCTAAGTTTTATTTCAAGGTTTTTTGAAAGAGTAAGCTTTGACACTAATTAAAATAATACTAAATCATCCACTCATCATCATAACATGCACACCATACACTACACGTCAAAATCCATTTCAATGTCATTAGTGCTTTATCTATTTTATTCTTTACACATGATACTTGGTGAGGCTTATTATAAGTCTGTAAAGTTTTAAAGTTGTGAAGTTAATCTACCTATGATGAACAGGAGCTCATAGAGTTAAATTTTGGTTGCTAATGAATATGAACTCAATGTTTCCTTCATTCATGGAACTTCTTCGAAATGGCTTTGTTCCATATATTATGTGTCGGTTTGAGGGATGGAGATCACCTGTCCCAAAATGGTGTCCACATCCCTGTCCAGGTCAATCTCATTTAAAAAATTCACATTAATTGCATTTTTTTTCTTGCATTTCTTTCTCTTTTTCTAATTGGTCGGGACATGAATGGGGACACCATTTTGGGACAGGTGATCCTTATCCTAGTTTGAGTGCTTAAATGATCAAACTAATAGTAAGAGTATGTTTCAGTATTGTTGTATTTTGTTTTTTATATCACTTCCCTATTGAAGATAAAGAGAATTAAGCTAGGTACCTAGGAAAATTAAATAACAATGTGTTTTTTATTATAAAGTCTCTCTAAATTTTATGTTTTTTTTGTGAGTAATCATCATAAACTTTTTCTTCTTCTTAATTACTCTTTAAACTTTATCATTTGGTGAAATTGTTCTCTATATAAATATTAAATATATTATTAAATTACTCATAGGCAACAAGGAAATCGTTGCAATTAGACTCACAATAGTAGAATGTAACAAAGTCGATTAGCCACGTACAACGTTGATGTTCAGAGGAAACCACCATCAAAATATAAAATTGATTGAGAAGATGATAAAAAGTAAATTTTCAAAGTAAAAAGTGGTTAATAGAATAATGTTGTTATAAATACAAAAATAAAATAATAATAATCAAACAATCAAGGTTAAAAAAATGTACCAGTTAGAATTTTTCATTACTAATGGACTTTGGACTCCTTTGTTGTTCCAAGTTTTTACATTAAATATATCTTTCATCCAATTGTTAGAACCGGTGAATATTACAGGATAGACAAGATCTGGTTTACATTGACCGTCATGTCTAAAAGGTCGACATAGTTAGGAGAAAGAAAGGATGACAATGATAGGATAGGGTTAAATTAGCACTTGTTGTGCGGGAAAATATTTTTTTGCCAAAGGTAAAGTCATGATGCCTTAGCGTTCGTATTGCCTACACGGCAAAGCTACTCCAAATTTATTGTCAGTTAGTCTGATAGACTGAAAATAATAAAGAAAAGAACAAAGGCATGTTGCATTGTACACAATAGTGCATGTTAGATTAATTTAATTCATGTTTTTGGAAGTTAATAGTTTGAATGAAAGTATCTAATGTGATGATGATTGGTAATTAATGAATCAAACTAATTGGTGTATTGTTAACTCCCTCCCCTCTCACTTTATAGGTAGTTTCCATGATAATAAAGAATTTATTTTCTCCAACAATTTCTCCTAAATCATTCTATAAATATAGCACTTATGCATTGAAGAATTGATAGTTTATAATTTTAGAGTGCAACATAATTCAGGACATTGTCTGCTATATAGTCATTATGATATTTTTTCGGGTGAGCAATTGGACACAATCAAAATTTAGAACTAATATGCATAATTGTCTGAAAAACTAAGATGCATATTTGTTTTGTGCAGTAATTATTATTTCTTATCATAATTTGTTTTTTGGACCAAAGTAAAACAAAACATTAAAAAAAATCTATTTTTTTAATTTTAAGTAAATCGTTCGGTTCACTTCCCGGGTTATTCCAGTTCAATAAGGTTTAACATGGTATGACCAAAATTTCTCTGAGTCATAGCGATTCAACCCCTCATTCGATTAAGACTGCAAACCAAAGTTGTTTTCAAATCGGTCAGTGATCGGACTGGTTGAAGCGTCCAATCCAATCCGGTTCTCACAACACTATCAGAATCCTAAAACACCTATTTTTAATTTATCCCTATTTTTAATTTTTCTTTCTAACAAAAATTAAAACTACTTTTCTTCCAATCTAATAGCATATTCATATGGGTATATATTAATTACAACTAATTTATATTTTAACATTTTACCTTATATTTATGTTTTCTTGTACTTTATAGATATTTTTCCTGTTTATATATTCTTTAGTAATTAGTATTTTTTATTATGTAGTTAATAATTTTATTAATAATACAATTTTGACATGAATGAGGATAATCATTGTCGCACTTACCAATTTATTATTACAGATTAATATTGTGATAAATAAAAACGATATAGATATAAATTAAAATTAAAAGATCAAATATATGAATTTATCATTAGTAATGATAATATATTTAATTACAAAAAGATAATATCAATATGTAAGTTATAAATTTAAATAATTAACAATAATAAAATTAGGAGGAAACAAAATTATGTTGTATAACTACTCTTTTATCTTATATTTACTAATATTCTTTTAATTTTGAACTTGCTAAATACTCATTACCTTAATTGTTAAATAGTGTAGTTACGTAGTTATTGATTCAAGTGGAAAATAATTACTTTTTCTTAAAGAAAAATTGAGATCGAGTTATATGTATAGAAAAAGTACTATCTAAATTATGGATTTTCCAAATTGTCTCTAGTGGAAGATGGTTATGACTAAACCAAATTTCCTTTTATTAATAATACAATAAATTAGTATATTATAATTTATATCTATTTTTAGATAAATAAATTATAGTTAAAATAAAAACACCATATGAAATGAGAAACGTGATCCTCTCTAATATCGAAAGGTCCAATACTAAATAAAAATGGTGACCTTTGTACCTAAAAATATTTTAACGGTACAAATTTTAATTTCATGATATAAAAATTATGCACATTGAATTAGCAAAATGTCTCTGAATAATGTTTTGGTTTTTATATAATAGTATAGATACATAACCGAATTAGTTATAATCTAACTACTTATATAAATTTGGCTCGTTTATTTAACAATCTCAATTTTTAGTTCAAATTTGGCTCATTTAATTCATAAATTAAACTTATCAAGTTAAATAATAAATCGAATTTCAAACAAATATCAAATTAATTCATATCATTATTGTCTCATTTATTCAAAACAACCCAAAATAAAAACACAAATTGATATAAAAAACCACACACTTGAAAAGTGAACTTTTTGTTAGATCATTTTGGATTAAATTTCTTAAAGATTCAATAAAATTGAATTGAGATTTGATTCAATTATAAATTAATTTATACAAATCATATATCATTTACTTATTTGCTAAAATTATGCATTACTTCAAGTTATGACATTTTCTACCACTGATTTAAATTTTTTTGTATTTCTTCATTTCAATAGATTATCTATAATAATAGAGCAATTCGTCATATCACATTTATTTTAAAATACACAAATCTAAAACTCATGATAGCATAAAATAAAGACAAAAATAAAAACAGCCAGACTAAATCACTGTCACAAACCAATATTTGGATTGGACCAAATTTAAAATTTAAATTTAATCTAATCCAAGTAAACTATATACAAATTCAATTTTTGAATATGAACATTTTTTCTTGAATGTAATATATATAGTGTAAAAAATTATATATTAAGGTATATCATTTACCATTCATTGTATTATTTTTTTAAGTCAATGATAATTAATGAATAGTAAATGATACAATAACAATGTATAAAACTCAAATATTGTTAGTCTATATGTTAAAATATCCATTAACATAGTTGTTGAATGTTGAGAAAGACTTGTTTGGAGACCATCCTACCACATCATATTTGCATACACTTGATCATTATTTGACACATCATGAAATTGTGAATCTCACTATACCAAATCATTAAATACTAGATAAAAATAGAGGAAAGAGAAATACTCGAGGAGAGAGAGGAAAAAAACATGAATTAATTTAGTAGGACCCACATTTTCAAATAATGATTGTGTATATGCAAATATGATATATTGAAGTTGTCTCTAACCAAACTTTTCTGTGTAATTGCTTATACTAAACAAAAACACATTCATTGTCCCAAAACTATCATTTCATGTTTTACTTGATATAATTGGTTGAAAATATATAATTAAATTAAAATTTTAATAACTACTACCAATGTTTTAAAAACCGTGCCGTACCGGCCGGTTCAACCGGAAAACCGGTGAACCGGACCCATAACCGGTACGGTACGTATGTTATACCGCATATGCAATAGAACCGGTCAAAACCGATAAACCGGTTTAAACCGGTCGGTTTGTACATTAATTTTTTTTTTAAATTTCAAATTTCCAATTCTTCAACTTCAATGATTGATACTTGAGTTATTTATTTGTATTTTGCGTTTGTTAAGTGATAATTTTGGATAAATATATGTTTTGTACTTTAGACTTTGATTTTATTAAAGACTTAATGTTGTTTGTTTGTGTGAATTTGAAGTAAATTATGAATATGGATTATAAATATGAATATCTACTTATTTGAAATTTTTTGTTATAGGTTATATATATATAAGCAAGTATGTTCGGTTTAACCGGCATGCGGTTTAATTACTGAACCACTGGTTGAACCACTGTACCACTATACCAGTACCCTAACCGGTTTGATAACCGGTACGGTTTTAATAACATTGATTACTACTTTTTTTTGTTGTTGACAAATGACACACATTTATTACCATAACTTGTGATACAAAACATGGTGCAATATCATCAAATGACCCCAAAGCTTCAAATTCAGATTCCCTTATGCTCTTAGCATATACTCATATACCGTGATGAAAAATATTGGGCCGATGGGCTTAGGATAAAAGCCCAAAAGGCCCAAAAAAGGATCAGGTTTTTGCTAGGTCGATATAAACCTCAGAATCAGAGAACATTGCATACTCTGTTTAAAGAAAGGTAGCAGCGTTCTCTTCGCCGCCACTCTCTCTTTCACACTCCTTCAGGTTCGGTTTCTCTCTTCATTCTTTCCTATTTTAATCAAATTTCTCACTTCTTTTCACTTCTTTTCTCAACCTTATACGAATCGGTAATCGTTTTCTTTCTTTTTCAATTTATTTTTTGTTTCCGTTGTTTTTTCAATTTGATTTAACCAGATCCGTGTTTTAGTTGAATACTGTGCTGATATTTTGATTCGATTTTGCGATTTGTTGATGTAGCTCTGTTATTATCTGTATGCTTTCAAATTGTTTTTAACTTTTAGCTGTTTATCTTGACTTTTAATTGTTTGTTAGGTTATTTATGTTGTAATTAATGCATCTTTGGTTGGAAATACAAATCGGGTTTATTTTGTTGTTTTGAAGTGATAAATTCTTGTTTTAGAAAGCCAATAAGTGTCGTGGTAGAAGAAATATTTTCGATATATATATCTATATGTATATTTTTTGGGGATAATTACATAAAAGTTTTTTTTTATAAAAATATATATACAGTATATAACTACATACAAGTAATTCTTTTGTTACAGCAGTCAATATGGTTTTGATAGTGATTATTTCATTTTATTTGATATCTAACTAAAGTTTTTTGATGTTTCAGCTCTAGTTGTGTGAAAAACAAGGCTAGCCAAAATGGTAAGTTAATGAACAGATCCTCATGTGTTTCTTTGTTAAATTGATAAATGTGTATAATCTGAACTGAGATTTATATGGCAATATCTGCAGGTGAAGTTCACAGCTGAAGAGCTTAGGCGTATTATGGACTACAAGCACAATATCCGTAACATGTCTGTGATTGCCCATGTTGATCATGGTATGGAGTAATCATAAAGATACAATTTTGATCTGTTGTTTGTTTAATGAGGAAGTACTATTTTTTCATAACTGATATACTGCGACTTTTTTTAATTTACTTGGATATTTATTGGAATGAAGTCCCATTTGATTTTTATTTTTGTTTCTTTATACCCCTTGAGGTTTTTTTAACAGAACGATTTATATCAGATTGGTATTCTAATAATTTGTCATATTGCATATTACTTTATTTTACTAGTCTGGATAACACTGTTGTTTACCTTTTGCCATGCAGGAAAATCTACTCTTACGGATTCCCTCGTGGCTGCTGCTGGTATTATTGCACAGGAGGTTGCAGGTGATGTCCGTATGACTGACACCCGTGCTGATGAAGCTGAGCGTGGTATTACAATCAAGTCCACTGGTATATCACTGTACTATGAGATGACTCCTGAATCTCTCGCGAGTTTTAAGGGTGAGCGCAATGGGAATGAGTACCTTATTAATCTCATTGACTCACCTGGGCATGTTGACTTCTCATCTGAGGTTACTGCTGCACTTCGTATTACTGATGGTGCCCTAGTGGTGGTTGACTGTGTGGAAGGTGTTTGTGTTCAAACCGAAACTGTTCTGCGACAGGCCCTGGGAGAAAGGATTAGGCCTGTTTTGACTGTTAACAAAATGGACAGGTGCTTCCTTGAGCTCCAAGTTGATGGAGAGGAAGCTTACCAGACTTTTCAGAGGGTTATTGAGAATGCTAATGTGATCATGGCTACATATGAAGATCCACTCCTTGGTGATGTTATGGTGTATCCAGAGAAAGGAACAGTTGCTTTTTCTGCAGGTTTGCATGGATGGGCTTTTACTCTGACAAACTTTGCAAAAATGTATGCCTCCAAATTTGGTGTGGATGAGTCAAAGATGATGGAAAGGCTTTGGGGTGAAAACTTCTTTGATCCTGCCACGAAGAAGTGGACTAGTAAAAATACTGGTTCTCCTTCCTGCAAGCGTGGGTTTGTTCAGTTTTGTTATGAGCCTATCAAGCAGATCATTAATACTTGTATGAATGACCAGAAGGATAAGCTGTGGCCTATGTTGCAAAAGCTGGGTGTCACCATGAAATCTGATGAGAAGGAACTGATGGGTAAAGCATTGATGAAACGTGTCATGCAAACTTGGCTCCCAGCAAGTAGTGCACTCTTGGAAATGATGATATTTCATCTTCCGTCTCCATCAACAGCCCAAAGGTATCGTGTTGAGAATTTGTATGAGGGTCCCCTTGATGATCAGTATGCTTCTGCTATTAGAGCTTGTGATCCTGAAGGACCTCTCATGCTTTATGTCTCAAAGATGATTCCTGCATCTGACAAGGGTAGGTTTTTTGCTTTTGGGCGTGTCTTTTCCGGCAAAGTGTCAACTGGTTTGAAGGTCCGAATTATGGGACCCAATTATGTCCCTGGAGAAAAGAAGGACCTGTATGTTAAAAGTGTGCAAAGAACTGTCATTTGGATGGGGAAGAAACAAGAGACTGTTGAGGATGTGCCCTGTGGTAACACAGTTGCCTTGGTTGGTTTGGACCAATTTATCACCAAGAATGCTACATTGACAAATGAGAAGGAAACTGATGCCCACCCTATCCGCGCAATGAAATTTTCTGTGTCACCTGTTGTCCGTGTTGCTGTTCAGTGCAAGGTTGCATCTGATCTTCCTAAGCTTGTTGAAGGTCTTAAACGTTTGGCCAAGTCTGATCCTATGGTTGTTTGTACCATTGAGGAGTCTGGGGAGCACATTGTTGCTGGTGCTGGAGAGCTTCATCTTGAGATCTGTTTGAAGGACTTGCAGGATGATTTCATGGGTGGAGCTGAGATTATTAAGTCTGACCCTGTTGTGTCATTCCGTGAGACTGTCCTAGAGAGATCAATCCGCACTGTTATGAGCAAGTCACCCAACAAACACAACCGTCTGTACATGGAAGCTAGACCAATGGAGGACGGGCTTGCTGAGGCCATTGATGATGGAAAGATTGGACCAAGGGATGACCCCAAAGTTCGTTCCAAGATCTTGTCCGAGGAGTTTGGTTGGGACAAGGATCTTGCCAAAAAGATCTGGTGTTTTGGACCTGAGACCCTTGGACCCAACATGGTGGTTGATATGTGTAAGGGAGTTCAATACTTGAATGAAATCAAGGATTCTGTTGTTGCTGGATTCCAGTGGGCATCAAAGGAAGGTGCTTTGGCTGAAGAGAACATGAGAGCTATCTGCTTTGAAGTGTGTGATGTTGTTCTCCATGCTGATGCTATTCACAGAGGTGGTGGTCAAATTATTCCTACTGCTAGGAGGGTGTTCTATGCTTCCCAAATAACCGCCAAACCCCGGCTTCTCGAGCCAGTCTACCTTGTCGAAATCCAGGCTCCTGAACAAGCTCTTGGTGGTATCTACAGTGTTCTTAACCAGAAACGTGGTCATGTGTTTGAAGAAATGCAGAGGCCTGGTACCCCACTTTACAACATCAAGGCTTATCTCCCGGTCATCGAGTCCTTTGGATTCTCCAGTCAATTGAGGGCTTCAACATCAGGACAGGCCTTCCCACAATGTGTCTTTGATCATTGGGACATGATGTCCTCTGATCCATTGGAAGCTGGTTCACAAGCCTCAACACTTGTGGCTGATATTCGTAAGAGGAAGGGTTTGAAGGAGCAGATGACACCACTCTCTGAGTTTGAAGACAAGCTCTAAGTAATTCAATCTTTATTATAAACTTGGCTCAGTTTTCTCTTCATGAAAACTTTGTTAAGTTATTAGTTTTTATATTTCAGCATTTTCATTTTTGTCAGTGAACTGTTGTAGTCCTTATTATCATTGTTATTATTATTGTCTTTGCATCGTGTTTGGTCAAAAACTATTTCTGCAAATTTTGCTTGTGAGATCCTCTTTCCATTAGCTGTTGCTTTTGTTAATGTGTGGCAAATGCATATTTGGTTAATTAGTGTCTTATTCTGAGTACTTTGTTAACCAAGTTTTTAATCTGGCTCATCTTGTTTCCAGTAAGTTTTGCATGGTTCTCTTTTTAACTATGAACAATGTATGTGGTGATACATTCCATTAAAAATAAGTTTATCTGTCTCAGTAGGATTTTATTCACAATAATTTCACTTTCTTCATACTTATCTGCAAATACTTGATTAGTTGGAGGAGAGATTCAGTTAAGGAAAAACCTAAAATTAGGCAATTGTTATTTTAATCAAATAACAATTTCCTCTTGGAGTACGTGGATCCTAATTCATATTTATATAATGTATATAATGATTTATATGCATTATTAAATATAAATGGTGTATCAGTATTTAGACACTTTTCTAAAATCTAGTGTAATGAAATCGGCCGGTTTGACCGGAAAACCGGCGAACCGGATCCCTAACCAGTACGGCTGCTGTACCGGATATGCAAGAGAACCGGTTGAAAATCGATCAAAACTGGTTAAAACTGGCTGGTTTGTATATATGTATATATTTTAATTTCATCCCTAAAAAGTGAAAATACACTGGCTCACATTTCAAATTTTCAATTCTTCACCAATTATTCAACATTAAGGATTGATACTTGTGTCATTTATTTGTATTTTGCGTTTGTTAAGTGATAATTTTGGGTTGATATATGTTTTGCACTTTAGACTTTGATTTTGTTTTGTGTGAATTTGAAGTAAATTATGAATATAAATTATAAATCTGAATACATACTTAATTGAATTTTGTTTGTTATAGGTTTACATATATATATATATAAGGAGGTATGTCTGGTTTAACCAGCATGCGGTTTAATTACTGAACCACTATACCAGTATCCTGACCGGTTTGATAACCGGTACGGTTTTAATAATATTGCAAAAATCTATTATCTCTGCCTAGCTTTTGTGCATGCCTAATATCTGTACTTGAATTAAATAAATTAAATACAGTTATTCTGCATTCCATACACAATGTCATACAAGTACAGTTATCATTTTCCATTCTATATAAGTGATTTGGCAGATATTAAAACCATGTATAGCAGTGATTTAGCAAGAGATAACTTTTTTATGCTTCCGGAAAAATATTATGCATTAGTTCTGATGCAAGCAAAATTTTAGTCAAAATTAGAGACCTTCTATCAGATTTGTTCTATTCAGAGTACAAAGATGCAATGAAGTTAACTAGTGATATTTATGAGGATGGCTCTATGCAAAAACAATAGACAAATACATTTAATAACAGGTCTTTTAAGTATGTGAGTCCTAGACAATATGGTGCATTTTAATTTTCAAGGCAATATGAGATTAAATAGAGACCCAGATTTTCAATCATGACTCATCTATATTTTTAACTTGCAGAACTCATTGCTTGAAAATCTTAAAACGATATATATCGAAAAGTGCATAAACCCATCAGTCGGGTGATGATAAATATACCCGATCAAAATTGGATGTTCACCAGAAAACGAGAAATAATCTAAATTTTGAAGCTTTAGTATTAAAACCCCACTTTTACTAAAATATAATGGACCACGAAATCGGGTCATATTCGGAGAAAATAAACTCCTATATCACAAAAAGCCATTTTTTTTAGAGAGGAAGTTCTCTTTACAAGTTCATACTCAGCTAGTCAACAAAAGATAGATGTTGGAGACCCTGCTGCATACCTTTTATGAAGATAACTCTAACTTGGAAATTGTCAAACATCATCAGATTTGCATGCAATCACAGCACATGGTGCTAGTCAACCTTCCACTGTATCCGACCATCAGATCAATCGAATTTGATGCTAGAGCCGTTAGAGACAACTATGAAGAATCGTAATCAAAATCTTGAAACAGCCTGCAAATTTAGATGCACTTATTTTAGGTTGAATCCAAAGAAGCATATAAAACAAATGTGAGAACAGGATCATAAGTTAACCAAAGATATTGGGTTGTCAACTACCACAAGCCAGTTACATAGCAGAGCTGAATGAACTTGCCTTAGTTATCAGTGGCTTTGCATGCTCTTCCCATTCAGTAGCCCACCTTGC